GCGTTGTGGATTCGCTAGGTAATTGAGAGTATACCTGTGTAATTCCTTTATATCTTCTTAGTGGATCGTTTTGTGGTTGTTGCTCGTGATTTTTTATCACAATTAGAGGTGCTCCAATTGTGGTTTTTCCACGTTAAAATCGTTATGTTGATTTGTCTTGATTGTTTGATTAGGATTGTTATAGACTGCTTAAAATTGATACATAATCACAAATCAATATCTAGGGGATTTCTAGATTGTATTTACCAAACTGTATGCCAATCTAGTTTCTGGGATATATATATCTTATTTTGGAATTGAACCTTGTTTTCAAAACTGTATTTACTATCCATGTTGCTACTCACTGAGCTATCAGCTGACTTAGTTGTTTACCATTTCCAGGTGTTAGAAGGACTTAGAGTGGACTCATGGCGTAGCGGGGACTCAATTGCATGGACCTCTAGGGCATTCCTTTAGTTTAGAGTGTTATGTCAAGTTTGTGCATATTTATATTTATTCTTATCGAAGTTCATTTAGGATTATTTTTGATATGTGGGTTATTTATATCCCATAAGTTTGGATGGTTTTTTATTACGGTCGATTTTGCCATTTATAATTGTGACATGTCTGGATTGAGTTTTAGTTATTTATTATTGGACTATTGTTCAGTTGTTCAATGTGATTGGATTCGTGTTTAGGCTTACGTGTGCCTTGGGCTAAGTCCCTGTGGGCCACGGCCGGTCATGCCCGGATTTGGGGTGTGACAATAGAGGGGTGGCCCTCTCACCCCTCATTCTCTTTACTAGCATGATTGGCCTTCCAAGGGGACTCTATTTTGCATGCATTGAAGTCATGTTTCAAGCCTCATTCCGAGGGTTTTAAGGTTTGCCTAAGCTCTGTCAAGAGTCCATTTTGCCATATTTTACGTCTATGATGCATGTATAGAGCAATCTCATTCAAGGCCTTTCAAAGGGACCTTTCTTTGCATGTTTCCGAGACTGATTTCAGGGCCAATTTGGTGGGTTTTAGGGCTGTCATAATCCATTTCCAGAGTTGGTTTTGCCATGCTAAGTGTTTATGTTGTATGTGCTTAATAACCCCTTGTATGGCCCTCTAAAGGAGCTCATCATTTTTGTATGCATTGGCTGAATTTCAATGATTATTTGGGCATATTTTGTTCACTGTTTTTGGCTGGTTTGATGAGATCTCATGCGCATCATATAGTTGTAATACAACCCATACTTACTAGCTAATGTTGCATGCTATTTTAGTCTGTCATGCTAGCATTTTTTGGCCATACTTTAAACTAGTAATGTGCATGTTTTGGGGCTGCCTTGGCTCTGTCTTTGTGCTTCGTAGTCAAATAATGCTTGCTTTGCATAGTTATAGTTCAATACATGTGCCTAGTTTTGAGTTTCGGGGCTTATTTCATGCATCGGGTGCCATATTTCTATGATTCGGGACCATTTAGCATCATGTTTCAGTGCTGAAAATTACATGTTTGTATGCCATCTTTCATCCCTTGCCATGCTTTGGTAGAGTGACATTTTATGCCTTAGGTTCGGTCCTCGGTATGCGTGCACATGTGCACGCATTTCGATTATCTCTTTTCCATCTCATGGCCACTGATGTAAGTGTGGCTGAGGTCTACTCATGTTGGTGTAAGTCCATTGTGCATTGTGTATGTCATTTCGGTCCATAGCATTGCGTATGCTAGATTGTATGTTAGAGCATCGTGTATGCCATGTCACATTGAGCATTGTGTATGCCATTTCATAGCATTGCGTATGCTAGGTTGTATGTTAATCGCATTGTGTATGCCATCTCATTTGATTCGTGTTTGGGATAGGAGTTAGCCCAAGCACGGGAAACGAAGGAC